ATCTGATCAAACTACCCTAATCTAAATCATCTCTTATCTAATAACCACAATGGTATAAAGAACAGGTTTCCTCATTGCTATTCTTGCTTCTACCTCTTCACAATTTCTTTCCCTACACAATCAACATGTGATTTACAATCAACAATAGAGAATGTCCATTACATGTCCCCTGTACACAAAGCAATGTCAGCTTCAAGTGCTGAGTAAAAGAATAAACCGTCAACATCTCCTTTGCCTTTACTCAGGTAACTTCCTTTCACATACAGAATAAAATCCAATCCATCGTGGTGGTACATGAATGCCTTTGATCCCTGGGGAAGCAGAGGCAGGTGGATCTCTGTTTGAAGCCAGCCTGGTCTACAGAGCAGCCAATGATACATAATGAGCAGCTGGTCTGTAGACCAGCCAATGATAATGATAATAAGACCTTGTCTCAAAAAATAGAAAAGCAAAACAAAATTAATCTCACTTCTTAAAAAGCCATGCATCATGATCAAGTCCTCCCCACCACACTTTTCTGCTCATCAAGCTCAGGGCTGCCTGGGTTCTGACATTCCTGCAGCTCTCCAAGCCCACCCTGGAGCCCACACACCTCTCTTCATGTGAACAGCCTTTTCAAGAAGGCCTTCTCTGACCAGGCTTCCCAAAGTTATTGTGCTCATACGTTTTGGTTTCCTTTTCTGGTGAGCAGCATCAGCTGAACCAGCTTCTTCTGTGCCCTTCCCCCGTTCTCCTCCCCGAGAGAATGTAAGCCCCATTACAGGAAGGAGCTTCACTTTCTGGTTCAACGGTATTAACACCACGGTCTAGTACAAAGCCTGACATGCGGTTAATACTTAATAACAAAACATATACCTAGGTGGAAAGCACCATACTAGATAGCCACAACATATACTTCAAAATAAAAACAGGCAAAATAAAATATAAGTATAAAAAGCAATTTGATATTCTTATTATGGTAGTCCTTCCTATTCTTTGTTTTGTTTGTGAGGGGTAGTTGGGTGTGGATTTTGAGTTTGGTCTGGTTTTGGGTTTCTTGAGACAGGGTTTTATTAGGTAATCCTGACTGGCCTAGAACTCAACCTGACTAGCCTTGAAGTGGCTACAGTCCTACTGCTTCTGCCCCTCTAGTGTTGGGATTACGGGCAGGTGGCACTATCTCCAGTACTTCCATTCTTGATTAGTGCCCTTCCACAATAAATGGCTTTCCTTTCAGTATGTTTAAAGATTAAAGCATAAAATATAAAAATCCTTATATCACTAGTAGTAGTTAAGATGCTGGGGTTTAAATGTTACCTGGGTGATCACATTCTTCTTATTTAATGCACAATTTGTGGGAACTAATTAAGCTAGAATTCAGGAAAATGGTATCTAAGAGGCTGGAAGTCTTAATTATCTTCTCAGGGCACATATTTCTTATAGACAGAAAAACTGTAACTAGAAGCTTTCTGTTTATAATACACCTAAGAATTTGTAACAATACATGTCATCAGCTCAACTCACCATTTATTTCCTGGCCTAGGATTAATATACCAGTTTCATTCAATCCAAGCGGTGATAAAATTCCAATTACTAAACAAGTTCATTTCACAAAAGTCATCGCTCAAGTTGTGATTCACCCTGCACGCCCCAATGACTACTATGAAAGCACATGGCCACTTGAATTTAGCTGAAAGGCTTGCTACCTTTCATTTTTACCAGACTGTAACAATGGTTACAGTCATACAGTAGGTGCACCTAACTCAGAACCACAGCAGAAAACATCATTTGTTATCATCTTACAAGCTATGACCACTATTATTATGACATCACTAGGCAGCTGATAAGTGATGCATCAACTATGAAGATGCAAATTTAAAGCTCAAAGCAATGAACAAGTGACACTGTGCAAGTGTTAAATGTAACATTTTTAGCATGTTTTAAATGCATAATATTCTACCCCAAAATGTTTTAAGGATTGGATATATTAAATTTTGAAATATGATTTCCAAAACTAGGAATGGTGACTCATACCTGTAATCTCAGCATTTGGAAGACTGAAACAGGAGGATTACTTTAAGTTTGGGACCAACCAGGGCTACATATTTAGACCCTGTCTCAAACAAAATAAGACTTTGTGTGTATGTGTGTGACCTATTTTAAGGAACATACTTATTGTAAGTAGAACTACTCAAAATATCATTGTCTAATTCTAGATTTCAAAAGCCTAAGGAAAATATATCCATCTTTCAATCAACTTTGATACTAGTATACACAATATACACTCTGAAAACAAGTGATTTCAAGTGCTCAAAAGACACACCACTTCTCCGATTTTAAAGTAGCCTTCTAAAAGCCGGGTGTGGTGGTGCATGTCTTTAATCGCAGCACTCAAGAGGGAGAGGCAGGTGGATCTCTGTGGGTTCCAGGGCAGCCTAGTCTACAAGGTGAGTCCAGGACAGCCAGGAATCTTGTTACACAGAGAAACCCTGTCTCAAAAAACATACATACATACATACATACATACATACATACATACATACATACATACATACATAAAGTAGTCTTCTAGCTACAGTTAAGTGTAGGGGAGGACTTTTATGTGATCTTGCATAAGAAATGTAAAAAAATATTCGATTTAGGTTTTTGGTTTTGGGTTTTTCTTTTTAGAACAAGGTTGGCCATAAACCTGCACTCCTGAATACACACGACCAAATGCTAAAGAAAAAGCCTATGCTTCCCATTTTCTAGAGTATACATACTATTCCCTTTGCTTTTGCCACACCCTTAAACCGTAGCAGCAGCAGCTTCCTCTCCGCTGCAGCAAGCTGACACTGTATGACCTTTGCTTCTCCCTTTAGTCAATTACCTATTTGCATAAACCAGCTTCAGAACCAAAAAGGTGGCTAATGAAGTTTGTCTGACGTCACAAGCCTGTGATCCCCCAGCACTTTGCTTTTGGCAGGATGAGTAGCTCCAGGCCAGTCTTGGCTACATTGCAATTTTGTGTTAAAGGCCAGCCTGGGCTACATGAGATCCTGGGGTGGGGGTGGGGGTTGTTATCTTCATATAGGCCCTAAAATTGCTCAAATTAGCCAAAGGGTATATTCATTATACGGTACTTCCAAGACACACATTTTCTTCATATTTGTACAAAAAAGTTTTCCACAAGAACTAGCCCATGTTCTCTTTCACTCAGATCATTTGCTAGAGAGCTTATCTAAAGAATAACTTGTAAAAATTAATTTTAAATAATGTCAAATATTTATATTAGCTCAAGGAGAAAATAATTACATTTACCATTATAGTAATTACCATTACTATAAAAATAATCCACTCAGTACATAGCTTAAATTTTTTTATTATTTCACTTGAGAGAAGTATCATGATTTATAACTTAATGCTATCAACACTGAGAACACAATTTTATAAAAATACATACTATCCGAATCCCTTAAATCTGAGTAATATTTTAAACTATTTTCTTCCTCTGTATTCTACAAATAGTAAATGTCTAAAAACTGCAGTGTAACGTGGAAATCTTTCAATTATTTAACTTCTAAGATGCTTTCTTAGTAGAAAACAAAAGAAAAATAGACACAATGCTTCCAACACAGGCAATTACCAAGAATAAGATTTTAGAGGTTAGGTTACAAAGACATCACAGATGGGTTCTGACACATATGAATAGATGAAAACCACTCTATCTGGCCCCCAGGGATGATGAGTATCTTCTCCATCACTAAGCCACTTAGATACCAGGACCTTCGACAACTGGCTAAGCATTGGAAACCTCTAATCTGGTGTCTACTCTTTAAGACGACAAATAAAACGTTCTAGAAAGTAATTCCCTGCATATATTTTTATTAAATTCCTAGCTATGCTAATCTCTATTACTTACAAAACTACTATGGGTGGGTCTACAGTGTAAAGGAATAATTTCAAACCTGATATATATGTATATTCATACACACAACACAAATTTCTAAACTAGTGGTACTCAGCCTGTGGGTCGCGAACCCTTGGGGCCACCTAAGACCATCTGAAAACACAGATATTTAATTTCTGACTCGTAACAGTAGCAAAATTACAGTTATGAAGGAGCAACGAAAATAATTTTATGGTGTGAGGTCACCACAACATGAGGAACTGTATTAAAGGTTGCAGCATTAGGAAGGTTGAGAACCACTGATAGTTTGTTTAGAATCTAAACTATTAAAGAATATTAATTTCATTAGCAATGTGCCTGCCTGGTGCATTCTAAATGGCAGAGAATATCACAAAAGGACTCCTACTAAATGCTTCATTTCAAACAGCTTTGAGAAATGCACACAACTACCTCTAAGTTACACAAGTCAAGTTCACTTTGTAGAACAGGGTTACCATAGAGGGGTCCCCCCCAAAAAAAAATAGTTAAATTTGTAGGAGAAAACTTGTGTACGGATGAATATGTGGCCTTTTTTCTTGGAGGAGAAAACAAAAAGTCTATACACCTTTCGGCTTTTCAAAGGGGTTCCCAGCTCGGTTAAGATTAAAGTGCCCCTAAGGACTGTCATAACTTGCCACGGTCAAGCCTAGCCTCCTTCTCTATCCCAGCTTAGGGGAAAGATTTATTCTCATTTAGTGGCTCCTACACAACTTCTGGGTGATGCAGGCACGAAATGGTTGTCCGACTCTAACAGCCCCCACCACCCCCGCAAAGCTGCAGCCCCCTAGTCTCCCCGAGCCCCGCTTCTCAAAGGCGGCTGGGTTCTCCGATGGCAGCGGCGGCGCGACCGGCTTTCCGAAGGGCGACCACGTCCCCAGCGGCGTTCCCGGAGCAGCGGCTGCAGGCCACACCGCAGCGACCTTCCCGCCCGCGTCCCGCGTGGGGCAGCCCCGCACCACACGAGGGACAACAAAGCGCAGCCGGGCGGCCCGGAGGAGCCGAGCGGTCACCGTGAGGGGGTCGCAGGCCTGAGGGCTCGGGCTCCCGAGACACCCCGGCGGCCGCAACCCAACCCGCCCGCCGTCCTCCTTACCCGCAGGGAAGCTGCGGGCCCCGCCGGGGCTGTCCCGGCCGCCAGCCTCCGGGGCCAGGAAACGGCCCCACATAGCGGGCGAGCGGGCGAGCCGGGAGCTCCGGGCCCGCGGTCGCCTCGGCTTCTGGCCGGAAACTTGAGCGCAGCCTGGGCCGCGGCGGCGCGGGCCGGACCGGGGCGGGCGGCTTAACGGCTGCTCAGCGACGGCCCCCGGGCGCGGCGGCTGCCATGGCCCAGCCGGCAGCGCTCAGGCCCGGGCCGGGGAAGCGAGCGGCTCCCGGGTGACGGCGGCGCGATCCCGGGCTGCGCCCAGGCTCCGAAGCTCTCCGCTCCGGGCGAATCTGCAGCGGCAGCTCCTCTCAGACCCCTCCGCCCCGCAGAACCCTAACCCGGCGCGCCCGGCCGGGAGGGGCGGGGCCTGGAGGAATCGGGGGCGGGGCCTGGGGCTGGGGGCGGGGCCTTAAAGCCTAGCCTGGGACGCTCTAAGGAGCAGAATACCTATAGCCCACAGCTTGAGGGAGACCATCCCTGACGCCTCTCTGGTACTTCTCCATCCTGTTACTTACAAGCTGAGAGAAGGGCCATAATTTCACCCCAAGCCCTGTCTTCCTATGCACGCCTTCTGGGACACGATTATAAAAGGTGCTTGGTAATCCCTGCAACCGCTTCACCACCAGTCAAAATTGCTGGAGGTTGGGAGGTGGGGCGGGGGGAGATCAGAATTAAAATTGTCATCATGCATTCCACAAGCACCGTTTATGGATCACGGTGGGAATAGAAAAGAGGTCGTCCCAGCCTCCCACGTGTAGGAGCCCTGCTCCACTTTAGTCCCCACCCTTCTGGGGAGCAGACATTCTGAGGAGAGACAAAGGGACACAACACCCTCTTTACATTCTTCTTGTTGGCAAGATGATCCTTCCAATATTTAGATGCAAAATAAATTCCGTCAGCCACTGTAGCAAGAGGCAGGCTCTGTGCTCAAGCGTGTCAATCAGAAATAACCCAGAGCTCAAGTCCCTTAGGCTTTGAGTCCAGTGGTGGTTTTTCCTATTGTGGAAGTTGCTAACAAAAGCCGAACATACATGCATTCCCCACCCCCAAGAAAAAACTACTAAAAACTTGTGAGGCGTACGTTTAGAAGTATAGTCTATCACTCACCACATTTGTTGAAATGTATCACACCGTGGTTATACATCTAGTGTCCTTCCTGTAGACCTGCAGTTATTTCGCCCAATCCTGAGATGTTGGCCAAGTGTCAACTGATTCTGATGCTAGGTGACAGAAATGGGAAAATATAATGAGATGGTTCTTTCTATGATTTAAATATGTAGAACATTAATTACAACACTTGAAAATGGCTTAAAAACTTACTAAAATTTTCACAAAGAAAAACATTGAAAGTGAAACTAGTATATCCACATATCTATCTTTTCATGACTGGTAGTTTAACAAAGAGCCCAAATTGGCTGGAAACTTGGTGTATAGCCCTGGCTGCCTTCAAACTCCTGGTTCTCCTCCTTTGGCCTCCCTTGTGCTTTCCAGCGAGAGAGGGAGAGAGAGAGAGAGAGAGAGAGACAGAAAGAGAGAGAGAGAAAGAAAGAAAGAAAGGAAGGAAGGAAGGAAGAAAGAAAGAAAGAAAGAAAGAAAGAAAGAAAGAAAGAAAGAAAAAGAGATAGAGAGAGGGAGGAAGGAGGGAGGAAGGAAGGTGAAGAAGGAAGAATAGACCCAGTTTAGGGGTTCTTAGACTTCTTAAACTCTCAACCTCTTTTGTCCATGAAGCTTTTACACCCTGGATGTATAGATATATAAAATAGGCATTCAAATCAAATGTTTGCATATATCATAAATTTACTTTAAAGAACTACTTGGTACGCATACAATTTTACCATTCATTAAAGAGAAAAACAAATTTGTACACTAATTACATAGATGCAATTATTTATTTTTATATAAGTGATCAAATCTTGGTCAAGCAAAATAGTACATACCTATAATCCCAGGCTTGATGGAAACCAATAGATCAAGAGCTCAGTGCGAACCTGGATTACAACATGAAGAGCTTGAGGTTAGCATGAAGGACATAATGAAACCCTATCTAGGAAAGAGAGAAAAAAAAGAAGGAAGGAAAAAGAAGGTGTAGGTAGATACTAAAAATATGTTTAATATCAAACTAAAATTTTGGTTTAAAAAAATTTAAGACATTCTTGAGTGGATCTGGTAGACATTAGGGGGAAGAATGGGGCAGGATATAACTGAAATCATTGTATGCAATTTTCCAAAAATAAAAATATTCTTATAAAGACATTATTGGGGCTGGACAGATGGCTCGGCAGTTAAGAGCTCTTGATGCTCTTCTAGAGGGCTGGGTTCAATTACTAATGCCCACCTAGGGCTGCTCATAATCATAACTCCAGTTCTGATGCCCTCTTCTTGTCTCTGTACCATGGGAAACACATACATACATTCCAACATACACATAAAATAATTAAAAAGTCCTTTAAATTTAAAGTATATGTTACATTCATAAACTTGACATGTATCCCTAGGATGAACACATTGAATTTTTTATAATTCTTTATTAATTACACTTTATTCACTTTGTATCCCCCCTGTGGTTCCCTCCCTCCTCCTGTCCCAATCCCTCCCTTCCACCACTCTCTGCATGCATGCCCCTCCCCAAGTCCACTGATAGGGGAGGTCTTCTTTTCCTTCCTTCTGATACTAGCCAATTAGGTCTCATCAGGAGTGGCTGCATTGTCTTCTGTGGCCTGGTAATGCTGCCTCCCCCTCAAGGGGAGGTAATTAAAGAGCAGGCCAAGCAGTTCATGTCAGAGACAGTCCCTGTTCCTATCACAATGGAACCCACTTGGATATTGAACTGCCATGGGCTACATCTGTGCAGGGGTCTTAGGTTATCTCCATGCATGGTCCTTGGTTGATGTATCAGTCTCAGGAAAGACCCCTGTGCTGAGATTTTTTGGTTCTGTTGCTCTCCTTGTGGAGTTCCTGTCCTCTCCAGATCTTACTGTTTCCCCCCTTCTTTCATAAGATTCCCTGCACTCGGCCCAAAGGTTGGGCATCTGCATTGATCTGCATCTGCATTGATAGTCTGCAGGGCAGAGCCTTTCAGAGGTCCTCTGTGTCAGGCTCCTGACTTGTTCCCTCTTTTCGCCTTCTTGTGATGTCCAGCCTCTTTGCCTTTCTGGATAGGGATTGAGCATTTTAGCAAGAGTCCTCCTTCTTGATTAGTTTCTTTAGGTGTACAGATTTTAGTAGGTTTATCCTATATTATTACATTGTTTTTTTTCTTATCCAAACTTATCAGTTTGGACAAGCAACAAGAAAGCTGAAGAAGTGTACAACAATGGATAAAGGTGATTTTTTTATATTATAACAAAATCTCATAATGTAGTAAATGTCAAAAACATTCTATTTATAAAACTATATAGTCTATCAAAACAAGATAAATAACATATAGGAAAAGCTATCACCAAAAAAAATTTAAATAGTTTCTCAAAAACAATTATCAAAATATTGAAAACGATGTATGAATGAAGTCTAAAAATCCCTATAACTAGAAAATTCTGCTGTATAAGGGCATATCAATAACTATAATTTGTAACCTTTCCCACACAAGAGAAATTACAAAGTATTCAATTTTGTATGGGTTGTTATGATTCAAATGATTGGTCAACAATTAAAATTAAGAACACTTTCCCAAGCTGGATTTGAAAATCACGTTTGGTTCCTAATACATAGACTTCATCGATCCAACAGTAAATAGAGGACAAGTTGGTGTGTCTCGGTTTCCTCACCTAAAATTTGGGATTGTAACAGTGACTACTACCTTGAAGATTTGTTGTAGAAATTTAATTGCTTAATATGTTGAATGCTACATGTGTGTGCTACGTTTGTAATGCAAACACACACTATAGATAACAAGTTGCTATGTCTCACTAAGGAAAAAAAAAACATTGCTATATGACAGAAAGGTTGTGGATCCTGCTTTATGGACACACGCATCCAAATGAAGTAAAGTACTGTTTGCGTTCTTTTCCTGGCCATTGTGGTTACTAATTAGCTCAGAAATTATGGCAAAGTACTATTGAGAAATAATTACCCAACTCTCCAGGGCCAGGTTAATAGCAGGATTCCTCTAGGCTGTAATCCCTGGGCGTCCCATGTGACTATCTCCTACCAGTACTACCAAAATAGAGGGAGGAAAATTGGGAGAGGTTGCTGGGTAGTATGGTCACTGGAGAAAGTTGGAATTCCCCAATTCAAGTCTCTGGTTCCAGGCAGTACAGAAAATGAACTCGACCTCCACTTTTGTGTTGAAGTTGCATTGCGGTGTCCATGAGAAAGCAGCTGTAAAACACTGGCACAGTCGTCGGGCTACTGAGGGAGAAGAGGCCAGGACTCAGCCACCAGTGTTTACTGGAACTGTTTGTCCTGAGATCTTTGTCCCAGGGACTTGTAGTCATCAACTCATGTTACTGGGCTTGTGAAAAGCAGAACGATCCCTTACAGTAACAGGAGCCAGCAGCCTTGACGGTGTGTAAGGGCTCAAAGCCTTCCCCCCTTCCTTTTCAGACATGGGAGGATACACAGAACAGATAGCATTGTGGGTTCAACAAAATAAAACACTCACACACACACACACAACACACACACACAACACAAACACACTATACACACACTACTATGTACTCACACACTATACACACATCACACACATATACACACTAAATGCATACAATATACACACCACACACTCTACACAGTATACACACAGTACAAAAACACACACTAGACACACACCACACAGACACACACTAGACACACACCACACAGACACACACTAGACAGACAGACATACACACTGCACATACCACACACATACATTGCACACTCTACACAGACACATACACTGTACACACACTATACACATACTACACACATACACACATCATACATACATCATACACATCCACATATATCGTACATACACACTATACATACCACAACACTATACCTATACACGCTACACACGCATACACATAATACTGCATACAAACTATACATACATACACACACTGCACACAAACTACCCACATCACACACACTACACGTATACACACATACTACACACATACATATACCACACTCATACACACACATACACACTGAGCTGACCTGCACTAGTTCACAGGGGAATTATTTAATAACTCAAAATGTCAAAAAACTAGTAGAATTAGGTCACAGTGTTCTGAGTGGCAAACGGGGTTATCTCCTGAGTATAGTTCATAGCGGTTACTGAAGGAAAAAAAAAATCGTTAATTATAAACTTCAATGATCTGAGATATCTCAATA